CGCATTCTCTCCTGATGATCTCCATGCTAGAGTCCGGGATACGGAGCGTTCGGCGGTGAGCAGTGCATACGGCTGTTTAGACTACTTACATAAGATGAGATACAACTTTATTGTCCAGATCCTGGCACATTGGTTTGGTGTTTCACCACGTGCACACACACACACACATTCACACACACACACATGCAGGCTTACAATCACATGCATTATATAAATGAGCAGCAATCTAAACTATAATAACCCTTTTCCAAGTTCTTTGGGTTTTTTCTCATTTAAAAGCAGCTTATGATTTTCACACCATTCAGAAAAGTATAAAGTTCCGGTAAGCAGTTTTGTATGTTGCATTGGAAGTCTGGGTACAAAATTTTAGCTACAACTTTGGTTTCTTGACCATGTTTTAAAGCAACGATTACTACTCTTGCCTTCTGTTTTTCACTTTTTACCTAAATATTTAAAGTTGATGCTTTTGTGTTCTTATTTGAGATTTTTTATGCTTTTATTTATGTCTCTGGCTTTTCAGTTTTTGTCTGGAGCATGCAAGATGGGGCCATGGACGATATTGTTTTCTGTGTCAGGAATTGTGTTTGGAACTGGGTGGCTGATACAATGGAAGTTAAATGAGTTACCAGAACTCATCACAAAGCCAGATGCTGAGTATGACTACATTATTGGTAAGTTTTATTTTTTGTTTGCTGAGGTTGAAGGATTGGCATGATGCATTTATGTGATATCAATATAGCTTAGTGGTTAGATCTCTGAACACAGAACTGTTAAGAGGTCACAGCCGTAAGTTCTGGTCCCAGGCCTCATTTTGTGTCCTTAGAGAAGAAATTTTTACACAAATTTTGCTCTCTCGCCAGGATAGGAATGGGTTTTCCTTTTATGGAAATGAAAGAGGGAGAATTTATGTTAATATATGAGACCCTTCAAAATTGCTGATTGCAGTTTGCACTCATGATGTGTCCTAGTATGGATGCTAATACTGGAAATCAGACCTGGGTCTTGACACTAGCTGTTTTTATTATTATGGAACGTTAAAACAGCTTTAGAAGAATAATGGTAAATAGAAGCTTTGTCTCTTCCTCTGATGAGTTTAGGATGGCAAAGTGGGAGAAGACAGACCTGCCACTCATCTCGATTTTTTTTCCCCAAGTCTCAAGCGTCGTGATTTCAATCATGTGTATCCCGATTTTTTTGTTGCGTCTGTTGCGTCGGAAACTGACACTGCCTTCATCTCAGTCGCAGGAAGCACCTGCTGAACTTTTATCTCAGGTGGCAATCGGAGCATTATCGATACCAGATTTAGTAGTTGAATCTTTGCCTTCACGTGTTATTTCAACAATAATATCAGTTTAATCGATTTGGCATTCCGACCTGGGATGTTTTCAAGGTCTACTTTCACTTTTGTTGCTACTTAGAATTCTCCGATGATGGCCTGATAACTGTTACAATTGTGACATACTCTTTGTAGTTCTGCTGTTGCTTTCAAAATAAGCTTAGTCCGAGGTCTAGTTAGCTAATAATAATAAATAGCATATTACCTCAAAAAAGACATCTCATCTAAAAAATCAATCGACATATGTGCACGTAAAACACAGTATTATGTATATGTGGCATGACGTGGTGGAATCAGGCGCTCATCAATTTTTGGGCATATGAGATTACTGGTATCGTCTTAAAGTCTGTTCATTTGCCTTGCTTTTGGCGAAAAAAATACCCATCGGTGTTGAATAGAAATCGAGATATTTGCGAATGAAGGAGGTGCGGGTCACCTGGTTTCAGAGGTAAAATTAATGGGAAAATAAGATGGGTTATTTCCTTACCTTGAGAGTCTATGGAAACTGAAAATTTACATTTTTGTGCCTTTAACCCTATCCGTACATCATGTTTTACTATTGTATCCATATAACGTGGGGAACTCTGTGCAACCCTTTCCAAAGAGGAAATTAACTCGTTAATCCAATCCGTACGCTTTGCATAGCAGTCTGTCAAAATTGTTTTTTGAGAAATACTGAAAGTTTCAAAGAGATCTTCGTACTTGAAGTATTCTAAAATGTGAAGAATACTAACCCGGGGTTACAAAATGACCCCAGGACGTACGGACAGGGTTAATCAACGATTTTCAGTTAAATCCACACAGAAATGTTTTCTTTAATGGGCATGAAATGCGTTGAGCCAAAAAACGAAAATTCGATAAAATTCACAAACCTTCAGAAAAATGCCAGTTTCTTCACTTTGATTATTTTGATGAGCGCCTGAAATCCCCATGTTGCTCACCTATATGTATAAAATCGTTCTATGTGAAAAACGGTCTCACAGTGAGCTTGGCAATGCGTTCGCTAAAAAATATACAATGCAGTAAAAATTCACAAACTGTCACAAAGAAATTGAAACTTGAATAACTAGAAATATTCATTGAAACATTCATTCTCTATAAATAGAAGGACATTTCCGTTCTCTCTCTCTCTCTCTCTCTCTCTCTCTCTCTCTCTCTCTCTCTCTCTCTCGCGCGCGCGCGCACTATTTCCTGTCGCACAGTCTGGCGTAGGCCCCTACACATGAATATTTTATTATAACAGTTCATCATTTTAACAGGTATGCTTCAGCCGTTTTTAAAAAATGTAAATTGTTGAAGCACATCTTATTTTATATGGGAGTTAGAGTTCGTTCCATACCTGGGGACCAAAGAACAAAAAGGAAAGTTTGCCATATGTTTTGGAGTTTTAAGAATTAGATTATCAAAGGCTGATCTAAGGGCTCTGGGTGGATGATATAATTCAAGGATTTTTAAAAGATAAAAAGGTGCAGTATCATTTATACCTTTACTACAGAAAACGGCAGTTTTGTATTTGATCCTTTCTTTTACTGGCTACCAGTGTAGTTGTTTTAGAATTGGTGTTATATGCGCTGATTTCTTTTGTTTTATTATCTATTTTTCTGCTTGATTTTGGAGTACTTGTAACTTTGATAGTTTTTCAACCGTCAAACCGGATAAAATAGCATTACAGTAATCTAATTTTGATGAAATCAGTGTTGTTACTAATGTCTTGCCTGCTGCTTTAGTTACATAATTTCTTCACTGCCAATTTTCTTTACCTGAAAATAGATACTTTTGCTGAGCTGAGCTGACTAATTTGGGAGGACATTGACATATATCATAATCCTACTGAAACCCTAGATTTTTAAGACTTCTTTTTGAACGAATGGTATGGTTATTGATATCAATTTGTTGTTCTGGGAGATTTGTAGTGGCTTTTGTATTTCCACTCAACATTACTTCTGTCTTGTCGTCATTTAGTTTCAATTAATTACTGACCATCCATATTTTTAGTTCCCGAATACATTGCTCAGTTTGGCCCATCATCAAGACCCATCAGTAAAACTGTTGCTATCGCATGTTCGCATCTCGTGTCTTGACTTCGATGTGTGAGTTCCGCGTGTTTTGGAGACTGTCTGTTGCAACTCCATACACAGGGGTTGAAGTGTCTTTTGGGACTTATATTGGAAGGGGGGGGGTGTAGACACTTGGACCAGGGGTGTTTGATGCAATACTTCAGGATGTTTAAAGATTAATGATAAAACACACATACACCTACAAACACATACTCACACAAACACACAGAGGGCATATATTTATGTACACCCCTCGAAAATTCTAACGTCAGCTTGGCAGTCACCCTGGATTTGTAGCTGATCCTGATTTTTTCATCAGGTCCCAATTTTTTCTTCCTGAGATCCTCATTTTTAGATTTCATAGAGTGACAGATCTGAAAATGACCAACTATTGGATTTAAATTTCATCCTCCACTACTTGAGGCCATACTGTCGAAGATAAAATTTTTCAAAGCTTTTTTTTGGTTCTCCCTTCAAATTGCTCTTTACACTAAAAATGATGAGGTAGAATGTCCAGATTTGATATTTGCCATATAGTGGCCATCACTGGAAAAATGCGAACCTCAGTTTTTATCTTTCTCTACAGATAGAAAAGAATTTTTTACATTTTCTTCAAGCAACCTTTCTTAGTGCTAGGCCTCTGCCCTCTACCAGTGTTGGTTTATTTTTAATTTCCGACTGGATACCCGCCCTGCCTCTGTAATGTGAGGTAGTCAGGATGGCAAAGACAGAGTTGTAAATGAAGCTGTGCTATGCCTTGATTGTTGCCACATTATACCATAATATCTCCTGTATATCTTTTCCCACAGTTGGTGGAGGTTCAGCTGGTTGTGTGTTGGCCAACCGCCTGTCAGAAGTCTCCTCGGTCCGGGTGCTGCTATTAGAGGCCGGCCCAGATGACCGGAACAATGAGGAGGTCACTATCCCCATCAAAGCCGCGGACAGTGTTCACAGTAATATTGACTGGGACTACTACACTGTCAAGCAGAAGGATGCCTTGCAAGCATTTAATGAACAGGTTTGTTTTGAATTGGGAATCTTTATTTTTCGACGTATTGGTTAGTGCTTAACAGAATGATAAATACTTACTCTTTGTCAAAGGGGATAGAAATGTGATAAATTCAGATGGGGAGTGACATAGAAAAAGATGTAAAGGTGCTGGTTTGGGACATTTGCCTTTCATCCAACCCCCTCCCTCGCCCAACCTCCCCCCCCAAAAAATCAGAGGGTTAACGAGATAATTTGAGGTACTCTTTTTTTCTTGCAACAGGAGCAACTTGTTTTTTCAGTGGGCCCTAGGATTTTGGTACTTCAGATTAAATTGTTAAGAAGAATGAGCTATTCTTTTTATGGTTTGTTTATGGTTTTGATTTGTTGTATAGCACTGCTGTTATTGGTCTGTGGGCTTTGTATGTAATTTTTTCAGGTTGCTGTACTGGCAAACAGGTAAAAGTTGTTTGCTCCTAGTAGTTTTCTCCTTTATATATTTTTTATTTTTTTTCAACAATCTTTACTCTTTATGTAGCATGTTTTATCACTTGTGAATTCATAATTTCTTAACGCAATATGCTGACATTTGTTTTGGTAAGTGTTTTACGGGACTGGCAAGTGCATAAGGTCATATGAGAGCGCGGGACACTTTTAAGCAATTTGGTAGGAATTAATTTTGAATTTTACTCAGGTGGCAGCAGAGGCCAACTTTTATTGATTTTAGGAACACCAAGGGATCTTTAACGTGCACAACTTGCATATGGGACATCCGAGATTTTTTGCCCTTATCCGAAAAGGTTAGGTGTTCGATCTTATCTGAGATCAGGGATCAGGGATGTGGCTGCAAGATAGCAGTCAGGAGTAGCAATAAAAAGAGTCAGGATGGGGGGCAGAAAGTGGAAATGAAAGCAATGACAGAAAATGATAAGAGAGCTGGAAAGGTGGTGGAAGGAGACAATTTTAAAGAAGAAAATTGTCCATCGCTGTAGGTTTCAAGCCCGGACCTATTAAATGAGAGGTATACACCGTACCTCTAGACCTCGAGAGCCCCCTTGCTGACATAACATTGCTAGTTGGTGAAACTGTTTTCGTTGAGTCAGTTGCTACTGGTCTTTATTTAATCCTTGCTTTGTTTTGTGTTTTTGAAATTGATTATTCTTGAATTAAAGGGGAAGGTGGAAGAGGTTTTGATGTGGGTTTTTTTTAGGTATACCCAAAAAAAAAGCGTTTTGCATCATGTAGTTTTTCAATGACCACGATACTTTTTGCTTTGACAGAGAGGCTGGTGGCACAGAGGAAGAATACTTGGTGGTACTTCTAATGTCAATGAGATGTTATATGCTCGTGGACTTCCAAAGGATTATGACAACTGGGGTGTAAAAGGATGGTCTTACAAAGATATTTTGCCTTACTTCCTGAAGTCAGAGGACAACGAAAATGCAGATTTTGTGAAAACAGGTATGATACTTAAACACCTCTGCCATAGTAGTGTACCGTTACTGATTAAGAAGATGTCTTCAAACGTCATCTTACAGCTTTATCGTAGAGTATAACATTAGTTGAATGGCATGAAAACTGTTAAAATTGGAATATTATTGAGATACGTCCCATTTTCGATTAGATATTTTCCTTTCTAATTCTGTAATTATTTCTGGAAAACTTCCACTGAAAAGGCTATTCTAGAACCCTTTTTGGTCCTTATGAGAAGAGAGTAATTCATGTGAGTATTAGGTCCAGCGTCAGTGGAGAAACAGTTAGTCACTTTTCCACTGCACACAAAAGCCATGAGGTCGATTTCTGTCAGGAGAGTTTTTATTATTTTATTTTACCAAGCGTCTCCGTTTGTCTGCTGGGATGTTGTTTGTATCCTTTTCAGTTCAGGTTAGCCTTGACAGGTAGGGTCAACGAAGCAGCCCACCTCCTGAATGATCTAAAATTATTTCATTAGGGTCATTGAACATTTACAATTACATGTAGGAAAGAGGAAAAATATGCTCACAAAGCAGACTTGTCTTGGAATAGGGATCAGGTTAGTAATGATGGCAACTGCTATACACTTGTCTGTCTTAGGGCTGAGCAGCATTTCATTGCTTTTTTTTTTACACACCCTTAACTTCTTTGTTCCTTTCATATGACTGCTCTTAACTGACAACAAGTTTTACTCACATTAAAAAAGTAGGCATCTGGCGAATGCAAACAATGTAACCAGCTGTTGACTTTATGTATTGATGATTAACAGTGGCATTCGTTTGATTTATTCTATTCGTTCTTAATAGTGTTTGTAGTACTTCACTCTCAATAACAGTTTGTGGAAAATAATGTTCAACTCACTTTTCAAATTGAGAGTGTGTTTATAGATATCCAAATAAATGGATATGTCCTTGATATAGACTGATATTTATAGAAGATATTATAATATTTACCAAGTACAGTAGAACACGACTATAGCGGCACCCACTACAGCAGGACCTTACCGGAATCCCCTTTTTTTCTCTATGTAAACTCAATTACCTGTGCTCGGGTTTAGCGGGGCAAGGAAAGACCCGAACTCAGATACAGCGGGTGAGATCCAGCGGGGTGGGGGGTAGGGGGTGTAGGCGGGCTCCAAACAGGCAGTCAGGGGTGGGGCTTTGTGATTGGCCAGTCCAGTGATGATGAGGTGGGGCAGGCGGCAAAGGGAGATGGTGCGGAGAGACGCATTATGTGAGCAACTCCAAATGTGATGTACCGTAGATTAGGCGCTCAGTATGAAAGCGTGTAGGCCATAGCCCTAGGAAGTTGACAAGAACTGGAAGACTAATCAAAAGCGCAAATTTCATTGAAATGGAAGGGAGTTAATCATGTGGATTTAAAGAAATTTGTCGGTAATTTCCCCTTTACATTCGTATAGCGGGAACTCGCCTACAGTGCGATTTTTCTTCTGGAACCAAATGTCCCACTATAGCCGTGTTCTACTGTACAAATATGTCATTTTGGGTAAAAGCTTAAAGATCAGTTCTGCACTTTGTTTATTACAAACAATATTAACTCTCTCAGGTTTACTGGATATGTTCTTGATGGAGACTGATATTTAAAGATATAATAATATTTACCAAGTACAAATATGTCATTTTGGGTAAAAATTTAAAGTAACATTGTTTTCAACTGTGGTCTGTTCTGCATTTTGTTTTCAGCAAACAATATTAACTCTCTCGTGTTTACCAACCTCTCCTTTCTTTTTGACATCTTTTTATCCAGGTTACCATAAAATGGGCGGTCTTCTAAAAGTGGGAAGATCAAAAACACATGCACTCACAAATTTCTTAGTTCGAGCAGGAAAAGAGATGGGATATAACATAATCGATATCAATGCTGTGTCATCTGAAGGTAAGCCTTTGACATTTTATATTTTTACTCTGCCTGTGCAATGTGGCATATATACATATGTCAGGCATCGTGGTGAAATCAGGCACCTGTCAAAATAATGGAATTGAAGATATCTGCATTTTTCTGACAATTTGGCAATTTTTTTCAAATCCTTGATTTTTGGCTCTACACATTTTATCTCATGTAAAAACACATTTATGTTTCTTTATTTTTTTTAAGAACATTGACTAAAGGCACAAAAAATGCATTTTTAATTTCAAAGACCCTCAAGCTTTGGCAGCCATTTTCTTGCTAAGTTTTCCACTGAAACCAGGTGACCCCCACCTCCTTCAAACACAAATGTCTCGACTTTTTATTCAAGTCAAATCATCAAATGGATTTTTTTTTTTTCATCAAAAGATAGACAAATGAGAGCGCTTGATTGCACCTTGTCGAGCCACATATGTTAGGTAACCTGAAAAAACAGTTATTTTTTGGCCCTTCACTTAATAGTAATGCTTTATAGGATCAAAGTTTTGGTGAAATGGAAATCATGCACCTTGCTGTACACCATGTGAAATCTACACAGCATGTTTATATCAAGTGATAAAGCTCAGCAACTTTCACATACAACACTTTGGAAAAAAGTTTGGTCACTCATAAGAAGCAAAGATACTTTTCAAGAAAGATATGATTTCAACAGATTCCTGAAGAATCTGGGATTAGGTCAGAAAATATCAGAGATAATGGAAGTGGGAAATCAAAGGGTCACATGTACGAACTGACAATCTTTTGGCATAAATCTTTGTGATAATCGTTATTCATGATTTGATTTCTCAGGTCTGGTGGAGGTGCAGTCTACATTAAGGAAAGGTGTGCGACAGAGTGCTACCAAAGCCTTCTTGAACCCATCCATGTTTCGAGAAAACGTACATGTGATGACAGATTCTCTTGTCACAAAGGTGAGGCCATAGCAAGTTTGTCTGTCTCTCAGGCTGGTCATTCTTTATCACATTTGTTTTGTTTTTCAGGAGTAAGGACATTTTCTGTTCAAAAGCAGTAATAATATTTTTGATTAATAGGAAACTCAATGTCACAGGACAGTGTTGCCATTTCATGCGATCATCTTTCTTTTGTGTGTTTTTTCTGTCTTCAGGTTCTCATTGAAAACGGCAGAGCTACAGGCGTTGAGTTTGAGCGCAATGGTACTAAGTCATCCGTCAAGGCCAGACAGGAAGTCTTGCTCAGTGCAGGTACTGTGGGCTCAGCCCAACTGCTTCTCCTCTCTGGAGTCGGCCCCAAGAAACAACTAGACAGCTTGAAGGTTTGTGAGATTTTCAACCATCTGACCGTTATTTGGTTTTACTTATGGAACTGTGGGTTTTAAGTGCAAAACTTTTAATTCACTATTATATGAGGGGTCATTTCTGTTGTCTACAAATAAACAAGTGAATAAACAGTTCACTCAGTGTATCAGGCTGCAGGCAGGTATAGGTTTATCGAAACACTTCAAAGGTTCATTACTTGTTGCTCACTTGTAACTTCATGAACAAGCAAGGGAGCTGAGTTTGCAGCGCCAATCTTAGCCAGGTTCATTACCCCACAAAAACCATTTTTGTGTATGGTCCCAGGAATGCCTTTCGTGTCAACCTATCATTTTATTAAAATGTATCATCTGCTGTCGGGGATAACAAATCGGTATTGAGCCCTCGTAACACCACTTCTGTATGTGTAGCTATGCAGGAAAACCCTGCTTTATGTTCAGATACTCTTTTGGTCAAAATGTTTTCCTCTCTTGTACATTCACAGTTTTTGTACGATTTTCTGATTAAGTGTCTTGACAAATATATATAATTCAAATTTCTTTTATGACTATACTGCTTTGAAATAGACAGCTGTGACTGGTTTGAGATAAGAATTTTACAATACTTGCTGCAGTTGTGAGCTCATAATAATGTTTTATTGGGAAGCCAGTTAATGTAATGATTCTATTTTGTGGTGGTCATTTGTTGGAACTCCTGTTTTTCAATGGCTTTGTTTAAGTCTGACAAAACATTGTACTAAAGCAAGGCCAAAAGGGTGGCTGACTCAAGTTGTGTGATATTTCAGATTCCAGTAGTGAAGGACCTGCCCGTGGGTGAAAACCTCCAAGACCGGCTCATGTTTGAGTACCCAGTGGCTATAGAGCCCGCCATTAGCATCACACAAGCACAGCTGGAGTCCTTCTGGGAACAAATCAAGTACAAACTCATTGGCAAAGGTTTGTACGCTCCCTCCTGCCTCAACAACATTTTTTGTGTATTTATATTCCTATTCATATTTGTGCCCACCAATGTGCTTATATCTATGTGTATCTGTCTGTGTATGTGAGCGTGTGTTTGTATGTGTCACTGTTAGTGTTCGGTTCTGCATGCAAAAATGTTTGTTCGCAAATAATGGAGCGCTCATTTCTCGTGCCTACAAATAGCAAGCAAAAAAATGAATCATGTAATGTATCATACTGCAGGCAGGCAGAAGTTGATTGGTACATTGCTACGATTCATTATTCGCTGCTCAAGATGCTGCTCATTTGTGATGTTTTGAACGAGAAAAACCCGCTGAGCTGACATAAAGTATGAATCCTCATCTACAACTCATTTCAAATGCATAAATGCACGTTTGACTTTGGAATCCAGTTCCATACACTGTTATTTAAGCCTTCGTGCCAGCCATCAGTTTTCCCATTAATATGGTAGTTATTTAAACTGACAAACTTGCTTAAAATTTTCCTGTCTTTAGGAATGTGGGCATCGACCAATGGTGTGGAGGTGGCAACATTTTCTAGCACTAGAGGCAACCAGCAGCAAGACTGGCCTGACCTCCAGCATCTGTTCCGAGGCATTCTTCCAGACCTGAACCAGGCAGCCGCTCTGGGATACTCAAACAAAGTGGGTGAAAAGCTGTGTGCACACCTTTCTGATTTTGCTGAATTTGTATAACGGCTATACTCATTGTGGCTGGAGTTGGAAACTGTTATTGGTTTTGGACATTTTTTTAAACAGAGCAGTTAGGGTTTCTTGTTTCTGTAGGGTAGGGGCTAGGTTCGGGGATTAAATATGATCTTTTCCAGTGTAATATATATTGTTAAGCACATAGGGCTTGCTGTAGAGCAGGGTTATGCTCTATACAAATGCTGTTATTATTTTTTTATTTTTTTTTGGGTTGTATTCTGTATTGTTCCTAGGAAACAGCTCTTGGTTACTGAAATTTTTTTGGTGTGAAAGCTGAGGGCAATTTGTTTTAGCCTCAGTAATAATATTGAACTTTGGGATCCGTCATACTCTTGAGCATTTATTCCTTTTAAAGAAAGAAGTGTTAATACTCAATTAATGTGCTTTTCCTATTTTTGTGGAGCTTGTGGATATGGTATTTTGATGACAATGGAAAAACAAAACAAATGGCAAGTGGAAGGATTGAATTTTTTTCTTTTACTGCATTTGTGAGCCGGTCTGGGGAAACCAGGAATGTGTTGCTAAACCTCAAACCAAGGTATCAGCAAAAAGAGTCGGTGTAGTCAATTCTAGTCGATTTTGAGTTATACATACCAGGGGATTCCCCGGCCATTTTAGAAAACAATTCAAGAGCTGTTTCTTGTGAAAACTATTTTAAAATATCGTTTCTCAATTTATTTTCGATTTAAATTCAGATTCATTTTAAAAAGCTATAATGGTGTAACTTTGAAAGCGGTTTTTTAGTTCTTACTTTTCCACATTGTGTTACTTCAGAGTGCAATATCTCGTCTTCTAGAAAAGATAATTAATTAATTTAAAGTTCATAGTAATCAGGAAGACCCCAGCATTTAGAAAAGCACAAAAACTCAAAATGACCTAGAGGTGACATATACCTGATTTCCTCAAACCAACTCACATTTTTCTTCACAGAATTTGAGGCACAGTTAGTTTGTATAGACCTGCCCCTCATCCCAATTTAATCAGGATATCCCAATTTTTTTCCCCGAATCTCAAGCGTCCCGATTTTCCAGATTTCGATTGCCAGTATCGTGTTTTTTTGCTCATGTGTCTTTTGCGTCTGTTTCTTAGGAAAAAAAGAATATTCTGCTACCTCTTTTGCTTGGAAGCACCAACTAAGACTTTTTATTGACAGGAACTTGGACTGCTATTTACTAAATAAAACATCAATGCCTGACTTATTGGTTGACTCATCCACGTTATTTAAACTAAAATAGAAATTGTATTGATTTTGAATTCCGACTTGGATACGCTCAAGATCTACTTTTCACTTTTGTTACCCAGAATTCTCCGATGGTGGCCTGATTACTGTAACTATTATGACATAGGTCTAAGAATCTAAGAATAATTTATTTGTTGATCTGCCATTGCTTTAAAAGCAAGCTTCATTTGAGTGCTGGTTAGTCAGGCCCATCATCAAGACCTATCCATGGAACTTTCAAACGCTTGTTCGCATCATTTGACATTACCTCATACATATGAGTAGTGCGTGTGTCGGGGACCGTCGGTTGTCGAGTTCATCCACACTGGTCATATTGGTAGAGGTGTTTTTTGGGGACTTAACCAACATGGGACGACGGGGGGGGGGGGGGGGGTATTTGTTTATTTACGCTGCTTGCCATGATACTCGCCCTAATTAAGGATAAGGGAATAAGAAAAAAAATAAATGAATGAAAAACCTTGGCGCGATTTTTTTTTATGGGAGGGGTGCCTTGATTGTAAATGTGATCGAATAAAACGTTGCTACTGTATGAAAATGGGTCCATTTTGCGGGGATGATTAGAGTTATGTGTACGCTATTTTCAAGACTACGAGTGTTTCAGCATCCCTGCAACTTGCGCTCCCCCAGTCTATCCAACTGAGACTCGAGTACATGCTCTCTATCAGTTTTTTCACTCTACTATGAGGCCCAAATGTGTACTTATTCCTGCAAAAGTTTTGTCTTGCATGCATTCCTCATAAAAGGGATCCGGAAAACAACCCCCCACCCCCCCTTCCCCAGTGCCCCTTATGACTGATTTGCCATTGATCCCACCAATTTTTTTCCACCAGATCCTGGTTTTTTTTTACTCTGAAATCCTGATTTTTAGATTTCATAGAGTGGCAGGTCTGTTTTGTACAAGAATATCTGTTTGATTTTACACTCAATCCAATCGCATTCAGTTCATACAAATAAGTGTTCTTTTCTTCATTTCACATTTTGGCTTTGTTGCAGACATTGACGGAGATGGCTAACAGGTCAAAGTTTGTCTACGGGTTCTCTTGCCTGGGCAACGTGTTGCGTCCACAGAGCCGTGGTAACATCAGACTGGCCAGTGTGAACCCCAGAGATATGCCTCTGATAGACCCCAAGTACTTGGAGAAAGCAGCGGATGTGGAGATCTTACTGGAAGGTAGTTGGAGGTTTTTGTTGGTCACTTGACCACATGTGTATTGCAAGATTACATTTTTTTATACCGAAAATTATTTGTTGTACCCCTCTGTGAATTGGCCCCTTGAACGTATGTAAGACCTGTGAACGTAAACTCCTTTGGGCTTTGGGTGGGTGGTTGGCGGGTGCTCTGGTGTGGTTTGCTTCTTCTTTCCTATGAAACATCTATCTTCCTTATCTCCCCTTCTTCTTTTTTATGTTTGTTACTGTCTTGTGTCACCTCTAATCTTCTGGCGCTCATATGACCTTATGCAGTTGCAAGCGCCGTAAAACCTCTACTAAAACTTTTTTAAATCTCCTATAGGTCAATGCTGGATGTACACCCTCACACGTCAATGTGTGCACTCAGTGTGCAGAAAGGCAACAGGTGCAGGTGCTCACTCTCAGCTGTGGGTCCATAGCACAAAATTCCGTCTGAAAACTATTTGCAAATTTCAAAAATCCAAATTGAACATTATTTTTATAGAGTTAATACTCTCAAGAATCAGAAGAGCTATGTTTTGATTTTTCAAGAATTCTATATGCTTGTAGAAGAAAGAGATATAATTCAGAAAGAGTATGCTGGTTCAAGTGATTAAGTCATTCGCTACGCCGAGCCGTGGAGGGGGGGGGGGGGGGGGGGGGGGTATTTGTTTATTTACGCTGCTTGCCATGATACTCGCCCTAATTAAGGATAAGGGAATAAGAAAAAAAATAAATGAATGAAAAACCTTGGCGCGATTTTTTTTTATGGGAGGGGTGCCTTGATTGTAAATGTGATCGAATAAAACGTTGCTACTGTATGAAAATGGGTCCATTTTGCGGGGATGATTAGAGTTATGTGTACGCTATTTTCAAGACTACGAGTGTTTCAGCATCCCTGCAACTTGCGCTCCCCCAGTCTATCCAACTGAGACTCGAGTACATGCTCTCTATCAGTTTTTTCACTCTACTATGAGGCCCAAATGTGTACTTATTCCTGCAAAAGTTTTGTCTTGCATGCATTCCTCATAAAAGGGATCCGGAAAACAACCCCCCACCCCCCCTTCCCCAGTGCCCCTTATGACTGATTTGCCATTGATCCCACCAATTTTTTTCCACCAGATCCTGGTTTTTTTTTACTCTGAAATCCTGATTTTTAGATTTCATAGAGTGGCAGGTCTGTTTTGTACAAGAATATCTGTTTGATTTTACACTCAATCCAATCGCATTCAGTTCATACAAATAAGTGTTCTTTTCTTCATTTCACATTTTGGCTTTGTTGCAGACATTGACGGAGATGGCTAACAGGTCAAAGTTTGTCTACGGGTTCTCTTGCCTGGGCAACGTGTTGCGTCCACAGAGCCGTGGTAACATCAGACTGGCCAGTGTGAACCCCAGAGATATGCCTCTGATAGACCCCAAGTACTTGGAGAAAGCAGCGGATGTGGAGATCTTACTGGAAGGTAGTTGGAGGTTTTTGTTGGTCACTTGACCACATGTGTATTGCAAGATTACATTTTTTTATACCGAAAATTATTTGTTGTACCCCTCTGTGAATTGGCCCCTTGAACGTATGTAAGACCTGTGAACGTAAACTCCTTTGGGCTTTGGGTGGGTGGTTGGCGGGTGCTCTGGTGTGGTTTGCTTCTTCTTTCCTATGAAACATCTATCTTCCTTATCTCCCCTTCTTCTTTTTTATGTTTGTTACTGTCTTGTGTCACCTCTAATCTTCTGGCGCTCATATGACCTTATGCAGTTGCAAGCGCCGTAAAACCTCTACTAAAACTTTTTTAAATCTCCTATAGGTCAATGCTGGATGTACACCCTCACACGTCAATGTGTGCACTCAGTGTGCAGAAAGGCAACAGGTGCAGGTGCTCACTCTCAGCTGTGGGTCCATAGCACAAAATTCCGTCTGAAAACTATTTGCAAATTTCAAAAATCCAAATTGAACATTATTTTTATAGAGTTAATACTCTCAAGAATCAGAAGAGCTATGTTTTGATTTTTCAAGAATTCTATATGCTTGTAGAAGAAAGAGATATAATTCAGAAAGAGTATGCTGGTTCAAGTGATTAAGTCATTCGCTACGCCGAGCCGTGGAGGGGGGGGGGGGGGTGGCGCAGCTAAAGTGCCGTCAATATGCTAAGCCCCCACCCCCCCCCCACCCCCCAGCGGCTCGAGAACCGACGTTCAATTTTAGCTTGGTTTCTACGGGTAGGTTGCCTACGATGTCGTTGATGTACATGAGGAACAGTAGAGGTGATAATACTCCGCCCTGAGGGACGCCGGCGAGGAAGCGATAGTAGCGACTTTCTTTTCCCTCAAAACGAACTCTGGACCTTCTGTCGCAGACGACCTGGCAATATGGGCATCCCATGAAAATCTTGACACTGCCGCCACGATGGTTCAAGCCGCTCTGGACAAGATCTGCGATTGGTAAAACGCTGGAAGATGGAAATTAACGTGGCTTAATGCGAATACTCTTTTTTCACGACATGGAACCGTGAAATGTCCTGGCGCACTCAGCTTACAATGGGAGATGAGGAGGTGCCCTATAACAAAACACCTACCTTCCTTGGCGTGACCTTTGATTGCAAGTTAACATTTAAAGAACATATAAATAAATTAAAGAAAAAACTGGCCCCACGAGTCAATCTCCTCCGCAGGCTGTCTGGCACAGACTGGGGATGCAGCAAAGAAGATCTACGTATGGTGTACATCGCGTACATCAGATCAGCCATCCAGTATGCCCACGCAGCCTGGTTCCCAGCAATGGCGAAAACAAATCGTGAGACCTTAAATGTTGTTCAAAACTCGTCAGCCAGAATAATTACCGGGTGCACAAGAGACTCAAATGCAATGCTGCTCACAAACGAAGCTGGCCTGATCCCACTTGAGGTTAAGTCTACCATTGCAACTGCTGTGGCATACGAGAGAGCAAGAAGAGTCCCAGAAGACAACCCGATCCGTGCCTCAGCTGAAGGAACATCAAAAATACGCTTAAAGTCCATCAACAGTTGGAGGGAAGTGGGCCGACAGAGCTCTAATAACGCAGGACTAGAACATCTAATCCGAGAACCCCTGCGGCCAGTGAGTACAACTCCCCCGTGGAAGACCCCCTGCAACCTCACAATCAACTCAAAACTTGCAGTGTCTACGACAAAAACAGATCCACCTGATATGCGACGTGAAGCAGCTCTCGAGACAGTGCGCCGATTGCCTACGTCCAACCTCGATATCTTCACTGACGGCCATGCCACCGACGGCTACAGGTTATGTGGAGGAGGATACTGGTGTTTAGACAAATCTTCTGGGAAGGAAACATGCGTATCCGTGCCCGCGGGACTATACGGAAGCAGCTACCGAGCTGAAACTACCGCCCTGCTCCGCGCAATGGCTGGAAAAACAACCACGTTCTCAAAGAATCCACATCTTCACAGACTCCCAGTCAGTTGTTCAACACTTAATGTCCGGAGTGACTGCAGTTCGTACTGACATAGAGGACAAAATGTGGATCACTATCTGCCAATGCTGTGAAATCCACGGACACCTTCACATACAATGGATACCAGGACATTGCGATATCTACGGGAACGACAGAGCTGACGCCCTGGCCAACAAGGGAGGCCGCCTTGACCAGTCCAACACTCTAGTCGATATTGCGTCAGCAAGCTTGTGCATCTCGCGTTACATCATTGCCCACACATGGGAGAAAGCGCGAGTGCACGACTCTGTCGGGGGAAAGGTGAAGCCACCACCGGAGAGGGACAAAGAGAAGGACCTTACCGTCAGACAGAGAAGAGTGTTATCGCAGCTAAGATGCAACGCGAAGAGCCCCATCCTGCAGACATATCTCCATGCAATAGGCTCAACTCCCAATGATTCCTGTCTGGCGTGTGGCACAAGTCCTGACGACCTGCAGCACGCACTGTATGAGTGCCCAGGGGGAGGGGGGGGGAGCACATCGAGACCCACTTATGGAGAACAACGCGAGACCGGGCCCGGATGTACTCTGGACGAGGCCACAAGAGGTTGCCGCTTACCTGTCTGCCTGCGGCAGACTGCCGCCCTCCTGACGGAGGCCAGCCAGAGAAGAAGAAGAAGAAGCTTGGTTTCTAGTCCAATCCACATATCCATGTTAAAATTAAAGGTCATAATATAAAGTTGACTTCCGGGTCAAGCGTTTCCACCGAAAATCGGAAGTTATGATTCAGTTTTGAAACACAATTTAGAAGTTTATTCAACATTGTTTTATCGCGAAGCCCAAATTATAGCCCAGACACCAGTCTTAGTACTTTTACACAACAAAATGTATCATTATTTTGCTCACTAAAGAAGTGTAGGTCTATTCTTTAAAATATTGATACTACTGGACTCAAATTGCCAGTGCACTGTAATTGCGAAATCAATATTTTTGAGTACTAGATCTAGGCCTAGATCTAAATAGTCAAAATATTTTTTTCTCCCCAAAATCACTATTTTTTTGTGAATTTACTCAAAAAGTACCACCCAAGACATGTATAGGTTTATTCCAAATGCAATTCTGAATAATTCCATGTAAGATATGAGTGGGGGTTTTTCTGTTTGGGATCCTTTTTTCAAAATTATTTAAAAATTTTATTTTTTTTTCAATAACGGAGGTTATGATCCAAATGTACAAATATTATGGAATGTATGTAAATAACTACTCATTTTTCAATATTTTCCTTTTCTATATTCAGTTATGGTTATTTTGATGTATCATTTGACTAGGTGCAAACATATTTTTTGAGTTTCATCTGAGATTATAAATTTTTTGTTTTCAAATTTTATCCACAGCCAATCAAAATTGTGTTGCATAATCGCCTCTTACAGGAACCAAAGTTGAAAAATACTCAAATAAACAATACAGATGTATTCTACAAACCATACTGAAAATGTTGGTATATAACATGTTGATATTTATTTGAATTTATGGCCCCCAAGACCTGTGAACTGCGCACTAGTCATCATCTCATTTCGCCCTCCCGAAAAAAATTCGTCCACAAGCCGAAAAAAATTCGTCCACAAGCCGAAAATAATACGTAGCGAATGAGTTAATTCCAGAACCAAGCCCCAGAATGCCCCTTTTTGAGTGGGTTTTTTTAATGATGTTATCGAAAGTAAATGAATTGTGTCAAATGAATGCAATCAACTGTGCTCAGATGTTTTTCTTCCTCCTATGTGGTCATTTACTTCTGCCTTGAGCCTGACCTCTTGTGAAGCACAATAATAATAATAATGATAATAATAAACAGCATTTGCGTAAGCAACAACAACAAGCTTTACGCTCTTTACAATCTAAACTATTGCCCTTGCAGACTTCATTTGCATTCTGAAACTATCTCAACTTCCTGGAGATGCAGATACAGTATCACAGTCGAAAGATGGATACAAGATAGAATAGGCTTCCCCACTCAGGATTCAAAGTCATATCTTTTGCATGCCTTGACGATTTGCTTCACCATTAGAGCACGAGCACCAGTTCAGTCAGTCTGTATATGTATTTATTTCTCCAATACCCAAATTAAGGGGGCAGGAGGTGGTAATGACTCTTGTTGAATAAGTAATGTTGCATTGTGTTAACTCCACAGGCGTGAAACTCTGCAAAAAATTCCTTGAAATGCCGTCAATGAAACAGATCGCAGCTGTCCATGCTGAAGGTCCTTCCTCATCGTGCGGGAAATTCAAGTTCGACAGCGATGACTACTGGCGATGCCTCATCAGGGCCAGGGCCCTGTCTGCCCACTACCCTGTGGGAACCTGTAAGATGGGGACTGAGCAGGACACCTCTGCTGTGGTAGACCCAGACCTAAGGTGAGATCTGTTCTTTTCTAACCCGGTCTGTGCTAATCACTGTTCCGTCTGGATCTTATTGGAACATAGTTGGAGGTGTTTGTTGGTCACTTAACCACATGTGTACTGCAAGTTGACTTTTTTATGTTCATGGGGTCAGTTCATCGAGGGGTAAAACTCATGATTTTTGGGATTTTAAAAAAGTCAACTTACAGTACACATGTGGTCTATCATTTCGTCTTTGGTCTAGCTGAAGTTGTGGGGTTCGTGTTCTTCTCAAGGGCTGGCTTTGTGTCCTTTGGAAAAATACTAAACTCTTGTTTTCGCATCTTTTCCCAGTTGGAATGGGTGACTGACCTAGACTTAAGATGTTGAAAGATTTTGTCAATATCTAAGCGTCTGACTTCCTAAATAATGGCATGCTGATAGCTTGCTCAGATGTCTTTCAGGAAGCTGAAAATGTTTCTGTAGTACTAAATTGTAAACTGCATAGAGCCTGCTTTTGAATAGGATTATGAACTCTAGACACATTCCATTTTTATATCATAACTTCTGTCTGGCAGAAAATTTTAATTTTCCTATCATGTAACTTACTTTTTTGTGTGCCGGGGCTTTTGCAACAAAGCATATAGGGAAAAACTACATTTTCATTTCATCTTTTCAAAGAATTGTAGAAAAGTAACATATCTTCTCTTGATCTTTCTGTTCTTTGTTTTTATGTTTAATGTTTTAATTCTACCTGATAGATAAAGAACATGCACAGCCAAATCCGATGTTGGGACAAGCATAAGGTTGACGGTTTAGTTGGGCTGGTGTTATAACGTTCTTTTAATGCCGTCTTCTGTTGAGTAGCCACAGAGTTACCAGTGTCAAGGAAATTGATTCTGCCATGACTAATTGAAGGATAGTATAAAAATGAGGTTTTTTTCATTCGTTCAAAACCTGCAATGAGATGGCCGTCAGGTTTCTTGTATGTAATGATCGCAAGCTAGCAGAGTTGTGTATGGGAGAAAGGGAGATTAACTTGAACTCTGGTCATTTTGTGTAGTTTTCAAGGCTCTCAACCCATTCGACTCAGTCCTGTCGGAAACAAACACTGAATTTGGAGTTCCCACTTCTTAGATAGCCTGATAGTGTTGATAGGGGGCATTAAACCCGTACACTTTTTTTTTACATCGCTCTTATGTTCCCGACAGGGTACGAGGTGTGAAGGGTCTACGTGTGGTGGACTCGTCCATTATTCCAATGATCACCTCTGGAGGCACAGACATCCCAGCCATCATGGTGGCCGAGAGAGCATCTGATGTCATCAAGGCAAACTTGCAGAAGAGGCCACAAGGTCAAGGAAAGAAGTGACTGATGCCATACTAGTCCCTATTTTGATTAATTTGATCATGTCTGCAGCACAGTGGCCAATTTCAAAAATCTTTTTATTCAGGAGACAAAATAAGGATAACTGCCTGTTTCTATCTTTTTTAATTGTTCCCTTCCCGGAATTTCAGAGATGTTTTTACTCTTTTGGTTGCTTCTGGGTTAGATAATATTTATGCATAAATGTAGATCCATGTGTTATGTGGAGCTCAGACTCTCCCATTTTGTGCCCAATGACATAATGTTTTTTTTACATTGCCAATATGTCTGTCATAATACTAAAAACTGCTTTCAATGAGTGTTGCAAATAAGTGAGTGTGGTTTTCTGAGTTGTGTTGTGTTCAATATTTTTTTTGTTTCTTGGTGTGTAAAAACTTTCTTGTACTATTGTTTGTGGTATAGCAGTTAGGCACTTCACCATCACATGCAGAAGATGTAAGTTTGATTCCTGTGTGGGGATGATTTTAAATCTAGTATCTCAGTCTGTCTGCTGAGACAATGCATCCCTCTCGGCCAGCTTTGGCCCTGAGAGCAAGATTTGAAGCAGCCTTTCTTCTAAGTTATCAAAAATTGTGTCTTTGGGGGGGTTGAAAACATTAACATTTTTTTCATGAAATCTTTGTGTGATTTTGCTGTTTTACACATTTACTTTTCCCTGCCTCATCAGCAGCCTGATAATGTTCAAATATAAATATATAGAACTTTATATGTTCAGTCATATTGATATCTAAGCAATATGATTGGCATATTCGTAATTGTTTCTACTGTAATTTGACAGTGTTAAACTTACTTTTTTTGTGGAATGAAGGTTGCTATATAGTTCTTTTTTTAGGAACAGTCTGTGGTCTTTTTGCTTTTTACCTCTCTTATATTACTTCTTAAAAATTTACTCTGAAGCTTTGTGTGTTCTTCTGGATGAACAGTATATTATGATCTTGCGTTTTTCTGTCTTTGTTTTTGTAGGCGGTTGACCACAGGGTAGGTCCTTTGTCTTACCTGTCAGTTTCTTATCCTTGTACTTTTCTCCTTATTGCATCATCTATCAGTAGATGGTCATCGTTGAATTGATGGGCCCACAGCTCTTGAGCTCAGTTTCAAATTGTTAATACCAGAGAAATATTCTTTCTCAGAGGAGATCATCTATAGTGTTGTGACAATGCTTGATGATATGATTCTAAAACTCATCATGAAAGATCACTGATACAACGCTCGAAATCCTTGCCCTTCAGTGTGGACATTGAGAGCAACAGTGCATGTAAACAGCATCTACTGAAGAAAGAAGCCCATCATTATTTTTCCTTCATGCAGACTTCAGCATAAGTTAAGGACCACTTGCAAATTTTGCTAAAATTCTCCGAAGATTTCTGTGCTGCACCTTGTGGATAGTGAACCCATCATCACTTTCAGAGCAAAAAATTTTAAAGCATTCCTTGCTGTCTTTTTTTTTTATTATTAAAAGTCATGGCTGTCTGTCAAGGTGGTCCTTAACTTATGTTAATGAGGATTATGATGAGCTCATTTTTTATATTTTTTCGTTACTTTTGCTACCTTTTGCAATAGAATTTGTTTTGTAAATTGTTATGTTGTGATGTTTGGTATTTGTTCATCCAGATTCTTTTTGTACATGGCCAGGCTCTCTTGACTACAGGACCTTCATGCAACAAGTGGGCTGATAGTGTTCACAAAGTTTGTTTATAAGTGCCTCATACTCGTTTCTCAAAACAGTCTATCGCGCTACTGGATCAAAAGAGACTCGAAAGGGCGTGTATAGATAGACAGGGTGAAAGGTTAGGATGATAGGAGAGAGAATGACTGTGTTTCCTATTTCATATGGTGAGTTCAAAGTTCCACTATTTATTGTTTGGATATAAGCCATAATGCCCGTATTTATTTTTGGAGGTTGAATGGAAAGTGCAGTGAGAATACTATTCCATTATCTAAAGTTCTCTCTGCTACTTCTTGCTCAGAAGTATTCTGTGTGATCTTTGTGTTAGTTGTCGCATTTTTTTTTTTTTGCGCAAAAATTAAAATGTAAAAATTTTTAAATTGCGGGGGGGGGGGGGGGGGGGGGGGTTGCAGCGTAGCAATCGTAACTCAGGTTTTTTGAAATTTTACAGGAGCAGCAAAAATCTTATTTTTCACCACTATGTACTATCAACAATATCTGAGATTTCAATTTAAGTGTGTTTTCACAATATGACCGCTCAACTCTGAGGTTTTTGCAGACTAGGCGCACCTTCCCAGTGCCATGATTCAATATGGGAAAATGTGATTTTCGCCAAAACCCTGAGTTACCGTACTTGAGTGAGTGCACACAAGATATGTTATGTTGTTCTCCAAAAAGATGTCTTCAGGTGACTGTTTTCTCAAAACTAACTTTATCGCTGGTTTCAAAGATACATTTTTCAAGGGCTGTGAAGTTCCTTTTCGATTGATATGCTATTGTGTTTGTGGGTTCTCATAGATATCAGTTGTTCATCCAAAAGTACACAGTTACAGATTTGAGCAAAATTTCTCTGCTATTTGTCCCCCAAATGATTTGTAAGTCATTATTTAGCGTAATAATTTAGCTAAATCCTTTCTAATTAAGATTTGGAAATGCCTTTGTCACCATTGGACTTTTGATAAAAATTTAGTTCTTGTTCTGTTTTTCAAGATTTTTCTAAATTTTCTGCTCCTTCAGAAGGGTTCTGTCATAGTACACTTAAATAGTGCTGCAGATTTTGAGTTTTAGAACCCGACTATGTGCATTCTATGTGATTGAGTTAAAGCTTGATGACAGTCTGCTAGATTCTTTAACTAGGAATTTAGCATTCTACTTATAATGATATTATATCTGTGCATAACAACTTCTCTAGAATATATCCGTCTTTCTGCTAGGATGTTATATCCCTAGCAGCCCTGCATGGCTCAGGAAGGCAACATTGAAGTAACCCACCTCATAAACGTTCTAAATTGTGTCTTTAGGGGCTTAAAATGTCTGCAGTTACAATTATTACTCACTAATCAATGATATCGAACACAAACGGACCAACTCCAAAATATTCTGAAACCTGATTTTTTATTTTTTTAAATTTTACAGTACTTAAAGCAGAATCAAATACATCATCTCAGTGAATGGTGTGAAAAGCAGACATGTAATATTGAGTTGAAGTGGTCTTTGATGTTGTTATTCAACAGTTTTTAGCCTCTCTTGTATAGTAGGCTTCCTGGGAGGTGGGAGATAACCCATCTGTGCCCAACACTGTTGATATGCAATATCGACCACATGCCTTTGTGTGCTCCTTGTATAACCAGTGCACACCGCTGAAAGTTTCTTCAAATTTCCATTTGGTGTGGTTTGATACATTTTTGGATGACTAAGTTTTCCTTCCTTCATGGAGGGAGAAAAGCTACAATTTTTGGCACAATGTAGTCAAATCCTTCAAACTAAAGCATAATTGATTTTCTGGGTCATGATTTGATTAGTTTACTGAAAGCAATAATGCTAGAATAGCAAATCTTTTATTTGCCCGCAGAATCCACGGACTGTGATACTCTTTTGGACTTCTGGGTCAAATTTCAAGAAGCAATGCAGAAGTTAATTGATACAGCTTGCACTGGCCAGTGCCATTTCCCTACTCAATCCAACCCGATCTTTTCTTGCATTTGACCAGTGTGCATCCATTCTTACATTTGATGTGCTCAAGACCCCTGATCACTTGGCAAGTGATGGCTTTTACCACTTGCAGATTTTAGAGTCCCTTTTATTGTATAATGCCAAAATTCCCACCCAAAAGTCTGCATGGAAAATTTTGATGTCTGATTTATTTGAATAGTCTCTCCTCCTTTTCAACAAAAGAATGCCTTGGAGTGCGTTGGTGAAAGATGTGAATTTATGCTTTTTTGGTTGCAACCTTTTTCTTTCATTCGCCTCTTTTCATTTTCAAACCAAGCCTTTTAACATTTTATGGAGGGCGTCTTCTGCCTATGTAATATGATATTCGCCCCAAGGAGGTATTGGATAAGTTACTCAGGACAGTGATCACTTGAGGACAATTTTTGTCCAGATCCGGTGAAGTCCCAACTTGTAATAAACCTACCAACAATCAAAACTCCCTGTCCTGTTTGCACCCTGACCTCCTTTTTTATTTTACTGATACCCTGGAATCCCTTGCCCATCCCCTGGCAAAGAAATCATGGAAGTCCTAGCCCCATTGTCTTTACATGAAGGATTACGGCCATATATGAAGGCCTACACAATGTCCCGACTATTTGTGAGCTTAGCGCTATCGTGTACTACCTTCATTTCTCCTGTTTTGATGTAGGTTTTGACTGCACTGAATTTCAGTCACAAAAACAGAAATGAGTGCAAAATTAAAGTGAAATTTTATGGAACGGGGCATTAACCATAATTTGGGATACAATGGGAAGATTTTTCAACATCTCTGGCCAAAAATTACCAAATGTCCAAAATCGGAGCTAGTACTACTAGTACAAGAAAGTGTTCAGCTCACATATTGTTGACCAGGGGAGAGGGATGAAAAGAAAAAAATAAATATTGACGTGAGTCTGTTCTCCCTTTGTATGCGTATTTCCCTTGATATGTTGATAATTAAACTTTTTCACCTAAACAGAAGTCTGATCACAGAATGTATTGCAGGTGGGCTTCACTATTTATGCCCTGATTCCAAATCCTTTTGCGTCACTTGCGTTTTATTTTGTTGAGAGTTTGTTTGCCAATGTTGGAAAGTTTATATTTCTCCCCCACCCACAAACTATTTATCACCATTGTGAGCAGCATGATCGATAAAACTAGTTGAAATGTTCGGTAAGGAATATGTTTGCATGTATCTTTGGGTACACAAAAAAGTTTATATTTAGACTTCCGAAATGGAACTATGTATCTTAAAAGCTACATTTTGCCCTAGACAGCTTAAGTTCTCCCTGTAGGTAACAATTGTCTACAATTGAATAAACACTTTCAGCTTAGGTATTTACTTTCCAGTATTGCCAAGTAAACTCAGCCTTTAATATTATTTGTGTGTGTGTGTTCATTTATTTATAGGGACACATTTTTATATTCCATGGATTTTTATTACCTTTGTGATGGTGGAATAAATTCAAAACAACACAAGCTACCATATTTGTTGTTTGTCTTTGTTTGAAGTTTCTGTTTCATGAAAATTATGTTCCTCTTTCTCCGTCCTCGATTTAGTGATCTAGTTTTGGACTCATTCAACATGCAATCTTGGATTTGAATGTTAATTTAGGTTGAGATTTTGTCCTGGAATATTTCCTTGTGGCCATGTGTGCTGCAGTGGCAACATGACGAACACTCCCCCGTTCTCTCACCCCTTTCAGAAATGTTTGGAAAGCTTGTAAGTTAAAACAAAAAAATGTAATGATATACTCAGTCCTAATATACCAAGCCTGCATCTGATCCACATTTTACAGAAGCATATATACATAGTGAAATCAGCATGGTGCTAACATTTTTTAAAGTTATTTATGCCATGCAAATGTTTAAAATACAAATATACATGTACGGTATGAGAAATACTTTGAGGACCTAAAAATCTGTTCTCTGTTGTGCGTTTGGCTGTGTGTGTTTGCTATTCGGGTGCTAATGGTGTATCGTAATATTATGTGATTGTTCATTAGGTCACCAATCCTGTATCTGGTGCACTTTTTTATGAGAGAGTTGCACCATACTGTAAAAGAAGGCATTAAAGTCGTCTTGGACAAAGAAAAAGAAACTCCTTTGGATTGTAATACACAGTTTATTTCTTCTCTGTCGTTGGTAATCAAACTAATACGATCTATAGAAAAAGAAGTTTTAAAAAAATACATGACTAGACCCTATCTCCCAGAGGTTTTCTTTTCAAATGAGCGTTGTTCATCCTGGGTGTGTGGTGGACACTTTCTGACGGGGTCATTGCAACTTTGCTGTCTGACTCATGGAGAGGGCTTACCTGTGACGGGGAGAAAAAGTCGGGTTTTTTTCCTTTAGTTTCTGTAAGAGTTTTACGACACTTGCAACTCAGTAAGGTCATATATAAGAGGCAAGGATTGGAGGTGTTACAAGAGAGTAACAAATATAGAATAAGGACGAGAGATGTTTGATAGGAAAGGAGCAAACGACACCAGAGCACCTGCCAACCAGCTTCGAAAAAGTTTAATGACGCTTGAATACATTGGTTTGAGTTTTGCAACAATACCAATTTGGTTTCTACTGTCGCACGCAAGAGACCTGAGTTCGATTACCGTGTGGGAAGAAATGTTATCGAGCACCTCGGTCTTTTTCTTGGGCCGTTGTATATCCCTCTCAGCTAGGATTGGCCCTGACAGGCAGGGTCGAAGCCAGCCTCCTAAATGTTCAATAGGATTTTGATAGGGAGCATGTACACTTTTAGAAAAATCAGTTTCTACTGTTGTTCGTCGGGTTGTGTGCTGTCGTATACTGATGATTAATATAATAATATTATACTCCAAGGCTAAAGAAACGTACAATTTTCATCGTCGTCGAAGCGGTGGCCAAAGTTTCCATTGGTGAGTACTGTGTACATGTTCCATTAAAGCAGGGTCTGAACCTGCTAGACTGGTCTCATTTGAACGACGGTGCAGTGTCCTGATTGGTCGCTTATGCAAGAAACAACTAAGCAATTAGCACAGCTCACGGGTACTCACTTGTCACGTCATTCGAGAGGTACATTTGGGTTCATGAGGTCAAGTAGGCCTGGCCTATAACTTTTGAAGCCTCGGAATAAGGAGTTCAGTTGAAAACGAAAGCAGTATCAAGATGCCGAGACTTTCATCCAAAAACTCTGAAAGGCCTATTGGACTATAGACTATAGACTGGCGAGTCTGCTCAACACGAGGCAACTGTTACTGGCGTGCTTGTCTCCACCATCTACAGACTACAGAACTGGGTTCGAGCCGGAAGACCAAGGGCGACAACTGAAGCGCAGGGTCGTCTCATGGTGGGCCAATATCGGATGGGTCCGTTCCAGACAGCCGCCGAGACCCCCAAGAACACCGTCGTACTTGAGTACCACAACGGTATGGCGGAGATTGCAGACAGCCATGTCGAAGGCCGGTTCTGACCCCTCAGCACCGCTGTGACTGGCTTTTGTGGGCACAAACTCACGTAAACCGGAGGAACAGACAATGGAGAAGGGTGCTGTTCACTGGTGAGAGCAGATTCTGCCTTGATCCGTCAAATGGGTGCATCCGTGTTTGACGTGCTACACTAATGCCAACATTATGGAGAGAGACCCTTGAGGACGTTCAAACGTCATGATTTGGGGAGTCATCGCTCTAAATCAAAGAGCTGGACCAGTGTTCTTCCAGAAAGTGGGTCATGGGCAAGGAAATGGGGTCACAATTCAGTGCTACATCACCCACGTTCTTCAGCCTCTTAATTGTGTCTTTCTTCCCCAGAGACATCCAAACTTCATTTTCCAGCAAGACAATACGAGATCTTAAACTTCCCGTGTAATACAACCACCCTAGGGCAGAACAACGTCTGTATTTTGCCACATCCGGCTTGTTCACTTGACTTAAACACAGTCGAGCACGTTTGGGACGCTATCCAGATTCAACCACGACCACGGACAGCTCCTCAATTGGCTGCAGTCATTGATCAGGTGTGGGTTCAGATCCCAGGTCGACAAATAAACGCTTTCGTGAACTCCGTGGGTCGAAGATGCAGAACCGTTATTGCAGCCAACAGAGGTCACATACGGTACTGACTTTCTGTCCCAAGCTCAAGGTCACAGAAATAACATAGTTTCGCTTAAACCAGACCCAACACCAACCTATTGACGGGGGCTGTGCAAATTGAGCTAATTGAAATTTCATTATCATGAGACATTCCCGGCTGAGTCTAGTATTGTTTTGTTCATGACTTAGTTATTCGCGTTTCTTTTGTCTCTAAGTATATCACCATGGCGAGAAAGCACTCTAAATAAAAACGTACACACGTAATAAATAATACTATTATGGAGACAAAACACATAACAATAACAAAAACAGATTGCACTAATATAATACAACACAGAGCGCTGATAAAAAGCAGGCTCCAATCTCTTTATAATGTATTATTGCCCCTACAGACCCTATACTTTTGGGAGTACATTCTCTGCTTCTATGGAAACTGCCAAAATCCATTTTAAAACGGTTTCGGACACGAACATCATGACAAGATTGTTCGGTAAAGGTCTTCTTCAGCCCCCCGTTGGGACGCACTTGACCTACTACGCACATCCAGGTCTCCACTCTCTGTGGGGCAACATGTCGGTCACCGTGACATCTTACGTGAAAGATACTTCCAGCTCGTGTTAGGAATAGGGGTAGGTTTATGGGGACAGGGGGGGGGTCTAGCATACTTATATCGCATTTGGTTTAATCAGCCAGAGTTCTCAATACGAATTAAAAGCGCGCCCAGCATGTATCAGGAACTGCACAGCTCAGCAGCTTTTACGCCGGCGCCATGCGACCAATTAACTCATTTGGTATGTTAGACTACGGATACGAAGTCCTTGGCTCTGGTTCGAATCCAAGACCGGGCGTTCTTGAACGTTTTTGTTTCGTTTTTCTTTAGTCGTTTGTAGAGTTTTTGGGCTGGGTCCTATCGGAGACGAACGTATAGTTCGGTGGTCACGCCTCTAAAATAAATAACATATTAGTGTTGACAGGCGTCAATCTATCCAATTTTGTCACATTGGCGACTGTGGTAGACACTTAGCCGTCGAACACAGAAACATTAATTGGAGATTTTTTAAAGGGTTTTTCTTTGGGCGGGGGGGGGGGGGTGTTGGTTTTGTTTGTTCGTTTGTTGTTGTTTTTTTAATTGAGTATCTCCGTCTTTCTGTTGGGATGCTGTGTTCCTCTCAGCCCAAGTTGGCCCTGGTGTGTAGGGTATAGGCAGCGCGCCTTCAAAATGATCAAAATTATATTATGTCAATGGGATGTAAAACATTTTACAACAATCTCATTCTGACGAATAGGCGAATGCTTAACCTCCAATATTGACGACAAACACACGTTACAACAATACCTGCTCTAAAATATTTACCCTCGTGATGCGTAACATGTGTAGTCAGTGAAGCTCATTTCTTCTCCTTCTTCTCCTTCTTCTTATCTTTTTTCTCATCACCAGATTTGTCGTCGCTTTCATCGTCAGCGTCTTCCTCCAGCTGAGGTTTCTTCTCTGGCAGAGCGCCTGCCTCGGACTCCTCCTCCTCGGCCAGGTCAAGAGGGGGCAGAGTTAAATCATCTTGGGTCTGCCAACGATGTTTATGTATCAGCATGGTTGAATAGACAAGCGACACAAACGTTTTATTCCCACCCCATCGTCTCCTTCTCTATCTCTCTCTTCTTCTTCTGACTTTCTCTGTCTGTCTGTCTGTTTGTCTGTTTCTCTCTCTCTCTCTCTCTCTC